CAGCAACAGTAGTTTAAGTGGACAGGGGACACAGTGTTTAGAATAGTTCCCTGGCTTTACTAAGCCGCTGTGTGCAGAGTTTTTAGCATATGTGAATATAACTGCTTGAGTTTCAAATATAACTTTCATTTAAACGGATGGATTTTAATTCGGTGGGTCTTTTATTAGGTGGCTAAAATAAGTACATTTAAACATTTTGCTGCAGCAGCTGTCCAGCGGTACACTGCTTTGCTACCGTGCTGCTGGCATGCCGAGCAACATCTATTGTACTACACTGGCTGTGGACAAGAACCTCACACAAAAATCCACTTTAAAAAATCAAAACCGTGCCTCTAAATTATTTATTTTAACAAGAGGAAGGTGGGTTTTGCCACATTAAAGATTGACGGTACAACAGAAAGATTTGATAAAGGATCAAGTTGAAATGTCTGGAAAAATATGAAAATATGAAACCGTTCATACGACGTTTTCTGGAACGACCCGGTTCTGCGGTTGCAGTGGGTGGTCATTGAGGAGCCTCAGCAGGCCACGCCCACACACGCAAGAGGAAATCAGACCCCGCAGCCAATCACATTGGCCGAAAAGACAAGGTAAGCCAGGAGGTCTTGAGCCGTGTAAACCTTGTCGTAGTATCACATGACTCATATACAGTGTAACTTTGTACGGATCAGTTCAGCTGAAAGGTCCCACGTATCTGACGACGCGGTTGTCAAATGTTTTATGTTTATATCACGTTTGTGTTAAACATGCGAGCATTTCCCATCTATAAAGCAAATTTTAACGCTTTCAACTTTGGAAATTGTCATTCCATTGAAGGCTTTAACTGCTAATGTGTTTATTTCCAGAAGGTCAAAGAAAGTGGCGAGCAGCTGGAGCGCCAGCTGCAGGAGGCCAACCTCAAAGCCCAGGAGCACCGGCAGCAGCTTCATGGAGAAGCAGCAGGAGGCCGAGCTGTATCGCCTTAAACTGGAGCAGGCCACGGCCACCAACCACAACAACGATGCCGCGACCACGGACACCTCCAACGCCGGCGCAACGGTGAAGTAGGAGGAGGAGGAGATGATGATGGAGATGATGAAGGGGGAAGACACAAAGGTGGAGGAGGAGGTCGACTGTGAACTTCCTGTGAGTGAGCGCGGGCTGGATGTGGAGGTCGACGCAGCGGAGGAAACACACACGTCTTCCCGTGGAAGAGGAGGAGGAGGAGGAGGAAGAGGAAGAGGAAGAGGGGGGCGCGGACACTTGCTGTGTTGTATTACGTCATCATCTCTTTGATGGATTTAATGAATATGTCTCATGTTTTTATGTGCCACAAACGCAGAGAGGACTCTTGTTGGGAGTTAAAGGCCGACGAGGTCGCACACAACGCACCGGCTGAGTACGAGATGCTACGGCTAACCGCTAAGTGAAGGCCTCCCTCCCAGCGACGCCGTCCTCTGGGGCCGCGGAGGAGAAATACGATTCCTCATCTTGCGTCTGCCACTTTGTTAGATGCCTAATTCCCGAAAATATCTCTGCAAGACGGTGGACGACTCCGTCACGACGTCAACGCTGCTAATGTTACTTTATGTTTGGAATATTCTCATCCAGATACTGGCGGATCTTACACGTTGCTGGTTTGAGTTATTCTTCATTTGCATCATTTTGAATGATGGGACATCAGGCTGGGATGTGTCGCTGCCTGAGTTGAGGTGCACAGTCAGAGATAATGATGAAGGATCTCAGTAAGAGCACTTCATGCTCTCTTATTCAGGGTGACCTGCAGTGAGCAGATAGGAGCTCTGCTGGCCACAAGGGACGCTCACACAGAATGGACGGCAGTTGACGGGGACACGCTTTATCAATTCTGGGAATCAAGCTCGAGACCTTCAGGGCAGAATCATCGACTCAGTCATTTTACTGTCTAAGCGTATGGGTTTAATATGAGTTAGAACTACACATATCTAGAGGGGGAAACAAAAAAGGAGATGATTATTATGTCAATTATTTGTTCAAGTTCTCAGGAATGTCTTCTGGGAGCAGCAGTGACATCATCGAGTAGAACTAATTAAGCCAAGCCACTTTGTTGTTTTTAGCCAATAAACATTTTGAGTAAATGTTCAAAAGAAAGTGCACTTTTGTATGTATGTGCAGAAAAAAATGTGTACGTTGGTTCTCATTCAATTTTGCTGCGTGATCTCGTGGACCTCGTTTCGGAAGTGAAATAAATAGTCTTTAAAAAAGTGCTCTCTTGTATCTTGATGGATACTTACTATCTGCATGATCATTTATGCAAAGGTTCCATTTTGTTTCTACACAGCAGCCAGTAGAAGCATTTACCCTCCAGCTGCTCTCCAATGGTCACCAGTAATGACTGTCGACCTACTGGGCAGCTGCCAGTGGCCAACAGCCGCCCGTCGTGAGGAACAACGTGACGTACCACTCAGCAGCCGTCTTAGAACCCGAACTCGAGACTCGATCTGCTTCTTGATTGCGAGTTCCTGCACGGCTGTCTTCCTCTGATGTACGTTTTGGGGGCTGTGGAGGCAGATTGTGGCAGGTTGTGCGTTCCAGGCGAGAAGCCGTGAGGAGACGCGAGCTTTATCCGTCTCACACAGGCTCGCCCGCAGTTTATCACGACTCGAGTCCGTTTTCTTTTGCCCTCAAAGTGCTTCGTGTCCAGGTTTCCTTTCAGGGCTTTGAAGGCACTGACGCAGCCTGAGATCCCCCGGCGGAGGGAAGGGGGGTTGGGGGGTAAGGGGGGCTGGATGGGCCCTGCGGCCCCCCCCCGAGGTGAAGCCCGGAGCGACAGCGCTTCATCTGTCGGCCGCCCGAGGCTCAGAGCCGCCACATAGTGTAACTGGAATCTTTACAATCCCCCTTTTTCGAACACAGTCGAGCCTGATTTGTGGTTTTATCTTCCTTGCTTTTTTTTTACATTGGAGACCTTTAAAAATATTATAGTATATTAGAATATACTGCACTTAAACCTGTAAAGCTGTTTAGCTGTCCGTCCACCACTGAAATATACAAGAGGGGCTGCCACGAAATGTTGTTTTGACATTCATGGTCCTCAGAGGATCGATCTCGCTGGCTGCTGTGATGCTGTAGACTTCAACACCCCCACGAGTGGACATGGGTGGGATGGACTGAGATTTATGGACCTGCGGTGCTGGACGAACCCCTCACTCCCACAGCTTCAGACGTGCGTGACGTTCTCAGGACAACGTCAGCCAGCGGTATTTTGATCGTAATGTGTGCAGCAAGTCTTCGGCCCAAATCGGGTCAATCAATACATCTAGTCTATGCTTTTGTTCTTATTCTGATAGTGTTGGCAGCCTTGATAGAGTTTAGACTCCCAGTCTACACGTCGACTGCTTTCCTCCACGCATGCAGGTGCACGTCTGCAAACACGGGGTTTGGGTTCTTGTGGGCTGGAACTCGTGCGCGCTTACGCCTGAAACTGTTGACCTGCTGACGCGTCGCCCGTCTCAAAACTGTGCGCTCTGCATCTTGGGATTGTCTAAAATTGGGGTTCTGTTGCAGGTCGAGGATACTCAAACTGTGATCAGATGGCGGATCCACAAAGCAAAGGTAGACCGTGACTACCTGAAGCACTTACATCTGGCAATCAACTTTTCTTTGGCGCCAGCGTTGCCTGAAGCTTCACACTATTCATTGAAATGGGCGACAGACTACGAACCTTAATGGCTCTCGAGAATGAGGAAAAAACGCTGCAAAATCAATTACACAATATCGGTAGCCCCCTTCCTTATGTCCTCTTCGGCTATTCACATTCGCAGGGGAACGGCCCCTTCCAGCCTGCTCACGCAGCATTAAATTAACCGGAGGCCGAGTAGTGAAACGCGACGCTTGGGAAAGGGAATAAATTCAGCGCACAAAGCTTCTCAGCGGGCACAGCGGAGGGTAAAAATTATTCAATTATCAGAGGCTTTCTTGAATGTGAGTCATGTTGCATAGCGAGACTGTGCTATCGATCCATAGTGGGTCATGTTTACTGCCGTTGCTTCCACTTGATCTGTGAGGCCGCGTTCGGATTGGATTACAGTCTTTGTTTGGCGTGAGCTAACGAGATCTCAGAAAAAGACAATTATTTATTTATTTGTTTCCGTTTGGCTCAAAATAATGAGATCGTCTACACGCGTGCTAAAAGTTTTTTTTGAATTAGAAGATTTTTTCTTGACAGCAGGTACTTAAATTATGGATATGGATATTTCTTTATCCTCACAAGCTTTTTTTCTTCATCCCAGCAGATGCCTGTTTGTTGCACCGGCAGACAAACAAATGCACGCTTAGTTGTGCGTTCACATTTCAGCCGAGGAAGCATCTGCAACCCCACCTTCACTTTAAAAAGGCTTCACTGAAGACGCTGGTTGTCTCTTACATAATGAATCTTAAAGAGCTGAGACTGCATTTCTCGTCTGAGGGATCAGCTAGCATTTAAAATTCTGATCTGCTGCCCCCCCCCACCCCCCGCCCCCTTAAGAAAAGAAGGAAATGAAGCCTGTGGATGTGTGATATCAGCAGAATTGTGGAATAACACAAAACAGAAATTCAGGAGTCGATCTGTCCTCGTGTTGCTTCAGTGTGATAAATGATGCAGCTTTTCTTGCGGGGGGGGCAGCAGATGATGATGATGATGATGATGATGAGGGAGGATTGTCATTCTGCATGGCGTCCTGGAGGCTTCTGGCTCAAAGAGCTGCTTGGACCTGGAGACCAGTGTGTGTGTGTGTGTGTGTGTGTGTCGCCCGACCAAATGTGTGCGTTCACAGAAAACCAATCGAGACACGTGCCGGCTCCCATGCCAGTCGCTGATAATGTGGGTGGGGGTGCTGGGGGGGGGGGGGGGGGTGCGGTGGGCCTCCGGCACATACCGCTGCCTTGAAAAGGGCAGGTTGGGATTGGAAGAATGAATTTCTTTCCCCCCCTCCGTTGTTTGTTTGCCCCCCTCTGACCGCCTGGTGAGCGACTCCTAATGAAATGAAAACGCATTAAAATGGAGGTTTTGCTCTCTGATCATTTTTTTATTAAAAAAAAAAAAGAAACGGTGGCAGAAAACAGATTGAAACAAAAAGTCTCCAGTACAGACAGGAAAATAGTTTCTTGAGCAACTGACCCACAGCTACAACATCGGGATTAAAGCACTGCACCACTTATCATGCACGGAAGGGAGAGTCTGCGAGAAATACATGCGGGGAGGGGGGGGGGGGTCACATCACCTCTGCACAACGTCGCAACATCTGCGATAGGTAGGAAAAGGCCACAGCAGATCACAAGAACATCACACGTCGGGGACGGCAGAGTTCACTTCCTGTCCCGGCCAGAACGAGAGAGCACGTTAACAGTTTTTCTTCTTTTTCTCTTTTATTCATGACATCTCAGTGCAAAGACATCGCATCAGCGGCCGGCTGATTTCCAGCGTCTCCGCCATACCGACGATACTGTAAACAATCTACACTATAAGGCGCACAGTTGAAAAATTTGCCCAACGAAAGAGCCACAATATCCGTTTTCGTAAAGGGTTTGACGTGAAAGCGCACCTTCATCACCAACGTTCTGCGGATCTGGTGCACCAACTGTCAATGCACCAGCTGCAGGCAGTAAAATGCTGTTTGAGTGTCTTCACATGGGCGCTATGCAAAGAAAAAACACATATAAAGACAAACATTTCAACCCCTTGTCCTTCTTTTTCCTAAAACATCAATGTAGACTTTGTTTTTGTTTTTTTTTTCTCTTCAAATTAGGCACACGGTACAGCACAGTAAACGTTGTTCTCTTCTTCAACACCTCTTTTGGTTGCTGACATCGAAAGGACGTGGACACCGAAGGGCCCTGCAGGACTGAAAGAACACTTTTTTTTTTTTTTTTTTTAATCGCGCATTCAGAACTCTTGGCGTTCCTCTCTGCTGGCACTTATCCATCCAAACCGTACACATTAAAGGGAGAACTATTTGATCTGCTTGAGGACACTAAAAACCTTCTCATCCAACGCTCTAGAAGGTTCCAACCACCACGGAATATCCTTCATAAGGCTTTAAAATCCCTCGTTGCCTGAATCACACCAGTCGCACGGGGTCTTTTGGACCCCTTGCCTTCGTCCCCAAAATGAAGATAAAATACGCTGAAGACGTAATACCTCAACGTCCTCCACTATCCTCAAAACTCCCTTTTTGTTAACACTGATTGTCTACATTATCAATAAAAATCTAAGCACGTAAACATGACGAGATGTAAACACTGTTAGTATCCAATTTGCTTTGACCTCAAAAAGATATTCGACCCTGTGTGAGATGTGAGAAGACACAGAGTCTTCAGCACGTGGGACGGAGGAGGAACGAGGTAGTCCACGGGAGAACTGATGGGGGGGGGGGACCAGCTCTTGTGCACCGCATGGACTGAGGGTTTGGTCAGGAATAGTTTAGTTCCGGTTGCCTTGTTTACATTTGAGAATTTTTCAGATTTGTCAGGGAGGAGCTGCTGAAACTCTCGGCACATCAGCGGACGGGTGTTGTTTGAGCGGGAAAATCTAAAAGTCTTTTACACTTATCTATGTCTAATTTGGCAACGGATCGGGGGGGGGGGGGGGGTGTCCCCCTCAGACGATGCGGTAGTCGAACGTGTCCTTCTCGGTGTGGTCTGTCCAGTTGGACGAGGGCATGCTGCGGGTAGGGGTCCCGCAGGATGCGGAAGCAGCGCACTATGAGCAGCGCCCGGAAGATGAAGAGCAGCAGCACGAAGACGAAGGCCGCCCTCTGCTCCAGCGTCAGGTAGGACGGCACGTGATGGCCGCCGCCCGACGAGGACAGCGTGCTGCTGAAGAGGCCCTCGGCCATCCTGGGCACGTCCATGCTTGACCGTCTCGGCTCCAGCTCTCTCGTCGGTTGCTTGAGATTTTTTTCCGGGGGGGGGGGGGGCGAAAAAAAGGCTCGGCGGGAACCTGCGGGAGAATCCAAAGAAACTGGATTATTCTGGAGGTCGCGTCCTCTTTGGTTTGACGATGAAACAGCAAACAAATACAAGAAGTCTGTGTTATCGCAGGAAAACAACAAAGTCCTCCATCTATAAAGGCTTTCTGTCCTGCTGGCAGAAATCCTGCTCTGTGAGCAGAAGGCTCGGGGACTCCTTTGTCCTGGGGGGGGGTTTGAACTGGCACATTGAAACGACAGCCTGCTATTATGATACATCCAAGCCGATCTACAGTTCATTTTATTCCCATGCAACCAATCTGACATCTGACAAACGTTACAACTTGATGTTGGTGGTTTTTTCTTCTGATGTCGAGGCTGACAGGATCAGTCTCATAGTGTCAAAAAGCTTCATCTGTCTAATTTCAACCAACCCCGTTAAAAACACAGAATCGACAATAAATTTCAAGAGACAATTACTCAGTGAGCATCCGAAGGGACACATACTCTGTCCTGTCTCATAAAGCTTGTTATCCAGAAATTGCCACACTTTCACCCTGGATGCCATAACAAGAGTATTAATCCTCAGCCTTTAAAAAAGAAACAGGGCTCTTCAGCAGGCGGCGGCGGCGTCAAGCTGAGAGGTTAAAAGTCAGAAGGGTTTGAGAAAAGCTCAAATCTACGTAAAAAAAAAAAAAGAGATTTGTTGACAATTAAAAAAGGGAAAATATTCACCTCGAGACCCAACTGAACACGGAGCCTACGGGTGCTCAGGTTAGACTTGTTAGTCAGCTTCAGCTGCCTTGGATTTCTCCTCAGCATTAGACAACGTTCTCTCATGGCTCATTTTGAAAAGGAGTAACAGCTTGCAGCTTTCTGCGTGGATCATTTGTTCTGGCAAAAAAGAGGCCCAGTACAAGAGATATTGAGAGAACCGTGGGCTGGTCTGGAGTTAAATTCATCTATCCAAAGAGAGCCAGCAGGCAGCGGATCCGCTCGTGTCTTTTTTCCTGCTGAGCGAAGGGATTTCTGCAAATTACTTTTACAATTTGTCTAATTTTCCCTTACAGCACAGGAGCACTATCATCAATTCTTTTTTTTTAAATTACCCTTATGTTAAAAGTTGCGCTGGTTAGCTTGAAGGGAAATTCTACCATTCGTTTACCAACCGACGTCGGATATATGAAACAACAATATGGAACATCTACAGTTGCATCTCCGCTAGTGATGGAGTCAAATTCAAACAACGCAGAGCGTTTCCAAGCGGGTTCAAACCCTCGTAAAGCAGAAAGGGTCTCGGAGAGCGCAGACCTCCGCCAACGGCGTTCCCATAAGCAGCCGCCTCGTGACTCGCTGCCGCCATGTTTCCAGCATCCTGCTGACAAACAGCAAACCAACGGCGCGGCGGAGGTAATAATCCAGAAAATTTACAAGAATACAAATTACATTATTAAGATGAGAGGAACGTCTGAATAATTTATAGCGTGAGGTTCCTATCCTGAGAAACTTCACGCGTCTGATCTGATTTCGCTTTGTGTGACTTTGGGGAAACACTTATCGAACCACGAAGTCAAATGTCCTTCGCAGTATGATGTGCATGCAAATAACCGCTGTAAGTACACTAAATACTTCCCCCACGGCACAAAATGGCCACCAATGCAAACACTCCAGCTCCCAGAAGGCCTCTAAGGTGTGTGTGTGTGTGTTGGGGGGGTTAAGCCACTTAATTGAGGCCAGACTGGAGGAGAGCAGATGGAAGAGAGTTCACTCGGCTGAACGGAGCTCAGAGAGCAAGCTGGACATGGAGAGCGGCACAAAGGGAAGTGTGGATGAAACGGAAGACAGCAGATATGGAGGGGGGGCTTTGCTTAATTGGTTTCACCAATCAGACCAATCACATCTTTAGCAGGTTATGAGTCGCCTCGGAGAAATGTTTGCATAACCCAGACTCTATTTTTTTCAGATCTCGTGCTTCGGTCACGCTGAGATCCGTCAGAGAGACTGACAATAGCTTGAGGGGGAGGGAGGTGGGAGGGCGGGGGGAGGGAGGGGGTCACGACGGTCAGAGGATCCGTCTCCGTCTCCGTAGGCCACTCACAGGAGAGAGACAACGAGAGCAGCCTTCAGCCCTGCCTCGCCGATCGGCATCCTGTGATCCATCACACTTAAAATGACTACAGAAATGATATTTCACAGCTGCGATTCGTTGCCCTCTTTGTGAGAAATGTTAACAAAAAGGGACGGTTTATCTTTGTGTGTCACCCCCCCCCCCACCATCATGTCACATCACAACCTCGTCTTGTTGTCAACCAGAGACACGGCGGCGTTTGAGCATCGGCACTTAGTGCCGGAGAGGAATCTGCTCGTCTGCCAACAGGTTACACAACGTTCTTCAAAGCGTCCACCACAGCTTCAAACGCACTAAGTGCTCAGGAGTTAAGAGCTTTTCCTCGACAGTCTCACGCAGAGATATGCTCAGTATAAGCTTTTAATGCCTCAGCAAGTTTCAGAGGAGATCTCACTTTTCAAAATGAGATCTCCGCCGTTTCAAGAAGGTCATGTTATCCGTCCGCTTTGATCATCAGCTGCTACATTTTGTAGAAGGAAAAAAAAAAAAAATCACTCCTGGAGCCTTGAAAATACCCTTCAGATGGCAGAAATATGCACACACACGGGATGTGATTTTTCAGAAAGTGACCTGCATAATGTGCAACAAGGTGCATCGGCGAGGAGACGAGATGAAACATTATCCGGCACTGAGAGTCAAAATCAACTGAGTGAGTGTGACACAGACACAGACATTTGGAAATGAAGCAGATTATGTTGAAAAGTTGATTTTACCTGCTGCAGGCCTCTGTGTGTGTGTGTGTGTGTGTGTGTGTGTGTGTGTGTGAGATGACTATGACTAATGGAGAATTCAAAATGCATCAGAGCAGGTGAAATGAAATGGTTGAGGGGGATTATGGGACCTCATTTTCCAGCACGGCGTCAATCACTTCTCAACACAAAATGTCCGGCATTATTAAGTGACGGCCGAGGCAACAGTTGAACAGTCTTTTTGAACCTGACATGGTACAAATATTTAATACAATAATTCATTATCAAAAAAGAGGGAAATATATGTGCAAATGATATGACGATATATTGCATTTGTTTCATTGTGTTTTCCTTTTTGGCTGCATATCTTTTAGCGTCTTTTAAGCCCATTATATTTCACTGCACGTACTGTTTGTGTTTGCAACCAAACAAACCAACACATGCACATCTTTTGATAACAAACACAGTGAAACCGCGAGAATTGGAAAATTGTAAATGAAGCATGTAATTACGAGCATTACATGCAAATATTCATGCTATGATTGAAACGATAACTGCCGACAAAAGAGGAAAAAGGGCTTTACAAATGTACTGAATCTGAAAAAAGCAAAGACGTGCATGCAATAAATGTGAAAATGCAACAGAGTGGAGCGTGAGTGCTCATGATGTGTGAGTAAAAGGTGGACGCACCCGCAGCCTCAACGCACGACACAAAAAAAAGCTCCACAACAATTCAACGCAAAATAAGGAGCCGCCATTTAAATCCACCTGCTCGTTTTCTGTCCGGTGTATACTGGCATAACTGGGGGCACATCATTGTCTAAAGAGAGCCGGAACCCCCCATCTGCACACGTGGCTGCATCAAAAACGGCCCCTGTGCGTCTGTCGGGGACCTTCCACGCCTTCAACGCAACAAAAATGTATGTATGAAAAATCAAACCATGACATGAACATGTTTCAGGGGGGGAGGAAAATGAAAATTGCTCCCAGCTGAATCACCCGGATGGATGCAAGTGCCCGAGTCTGTAAACACTAACCTGTTGGTGTGAGGGGGTGGGGAGGGGGGGACTCGGGGGGTCTCCGTCAGCGGTGGCTCTCCATCCTGGTAGATCCGACGATGCTGTCTTCAGACTCCGAATTCACAACAGCGGCTGCTCTCCCGGCTCCTCACTTCAGAACGTGCGGACCAGCAGCTCCCCCTCGGCGGGTTGTTCTCCGTGTTGGCGGACTCTTCTCCCTCCGCTGCTGCGCTGGTTTGTGCCTCCTGGTCCTGACGCGCCGCGCATCCCCGCAGACACACGCAGGCAGAGCGGATGTAGTGGGTACCCCGTCGCTACTGACAACCTGTTGCCATGGCAATCCTCCAGGAAGGCGACTGTGTGTGCTGGCGAGTGGTTAAAGGGGAAAGGTGTGGCCCTGCCGGCTTTAATGTCGTTCAATGCACATTTATAGTGATATAATTTATGATGTAAACAATGAAATTTGATAAAAATTGTTTAAAATGTTTTTAAATGAATGTGTTAAATTTGGGGTTGTGGCTCAATCAAAGTAATTGAAAGATGTATATCTTCATATTTACATATACACATACATACATATGTATATATAAATACATATATGTATATATTCATACATACAAGTATATGTATGTATGAATATATAAAATATAAATGAATTAATGTGTGCGTGTATTTATAACCATGAATATCCATAAGTAATTAAATATGCACAGAGAGACCATACTGATATTAAATGATGCTCTTATTTCAATGATGTAATTTGATGATGAAGACACATTATCATAATACAATGTAAAACATGTATAAAAGAGACTTTATAACAAAGTATATGCAGGTAAGATGTGCACAGCCAGTGCATCAACACAGACGTTGCTGCATATTGGACCACCAGCTCTGGAGGAGAGCAGCCTTTATGCTGAAGGTGAACATCTCCAGCATGCAGTAAACACTCCCGTGTGTTTATTTTTTTATGTTTCAGCCTCAGATTCTTTTCCGTCTCATTCTGACAGATGCAAATCCCCTGAGAGGTCCGGGAGGAGGCGACAGTCCCTGAGCCGAGGAGGTCAGAGAGTGACTGTGCAGAGCAGTTCGTGGGGAGGGAGGAGAATCTCAGGTTACATAATATCCTCAGTCAAATGCTTTGCAGGGTCGCCACTTGGTGGAGGCCAGTGAGGACTGCAGACAAAGACATATTGATTCATTTTATTTAAGACAGTGGAATGCATCACTGACAAGTATCCGGATGTCTTGAACTTTTTATCCATGCACCCAGATATTGCTTTTAATTGTGGGTGAGTGTGTGGTTTGATGGAAAGATTGACACCACTATCTACAGGAAATAGGACATTTTAAACAGAATCCCTTAATGTTATTATTTAAAAGCTGTTTTACGAATTTAATATTTAATTGAAGGAAATTATGTGAAACAAACGTGTCCCATGTATGAAACATAATTGTATTATATGTGTTTGGTCCTTAGTGGGCAGCTTGATTCTGGGTGAAATTCCTGCTTAAATTGACCTGTCAGTATACATATATATATATATATATATATATATATATATATATATATATGTGGACATTGCGAGTGTGAACAGTACAGGTGAAACAGTACAGTGGAAACCAGTTCCAAATCGTTAAATAGATCCTAAATCACGAGCTTCGGGGTCTGGACATTTTGGTGGCATCTTCAAAAGGACTTTGTGTCACTTGTTCTCAGACTAATATCTTCTCACTTGAAGGGCAGAAAAAAGGAGTTTGATACAAAATTATATGCACTTTACTTGACATACAACTAGAATATCCAACCTTTTCTTCCTACATGACATCTGTTTAAAAGTTCCTATCTGAATGAGGTCAAAAAAGTCAAATCAAACTTTAGGACATGATGCTTTTGACACACTTTACATCACTTTAATACAACATTCTGAAAATCCAAGAGCTGATTGTTGCATTTCAGTGACTTCGCAGAACATGAAGTGTATTTCACACCCTCAGTATAAAAATACTACACCGTGCACAACACGGTTATGAAAGCCAGGATGAGGGAGTTGCCGATTGGACGGCTGGTACAGCGGAGGCAGCCGATTGGCTCTCATCGCCGCTGTGTCAGTCTCTCGGTCCTCGGCTCACGTTCCAGAAGACAAAGATCAGAGAGAAAAAATGAAAACAGAGGAGCCAGTTTTGCCCAATTGCACCAAAAATAGCAGGTTGCCGTAACACGAGGGCGCGTTGGAGGACACTGCGAGCTTCATGCACTAATCTGCTCCTCCTCTCAACAACAAACATGAACACAGGAAGCAAAAGTTTTATTGTGCTGCATGTTTTTGGGTGCTTTTTTCAAAAATAACTTTTTTTGCTGAATCTTGTGTGCACAAAAGCTTACAGCCGCTGCCACGCTGTTGTCATGTCGACGAGCAGACGCACAAAAGCACGCAGCTGATCCAATTACCAGGTTCACAGACGTGGAGGAATCCCTGATTGTGAAGTGATTTCTGCATTCAACAGGAGTCACCGTAGTGCAGATGTGACGCCCGTGCAGCTGTTTGCATCAAAGTGAAGGGCAGAGGCACAGATGGGACTTAAACAAGCCTTAACAGAGAGCGAAGGAGCCTTTAGTCTCAGAACCCTCACTGACGGCACAGAGACACCCGCTTAATAATAACCAATAAATTAAACTGACAGCATAACGCAGCAGGCATCAACAATATGATTAATGTTTGCACGTTGCACCGTTCTAACCGTCTCTTTGTGTGTGTGTGTGTGTGTGTGTGTGTGTGTGTGCCGACAATCCCCCGGCCAGCTTTTGACTCCCTGTTGAGTTCCCATGTGATGCTGTTTTTCCTCCCGGTCAGACTCATCTCCACAGTGCTCCCACACAAGCCCCCCCCCCCCCCCCCACCACCACCACCACCACCATCACCCTCCAACACAATGCGTCAAATACCAGAGTTCAGGTCCGTTCTGTTTGGGGAAAGATATATTTGACAGTGACGGGCAGAAAAAAGTCTGGTTGTCTGCACTTGACTTGGTTAGTCAACCACGGATCAGAGTGGCTCCATGGTGACCAATGGCGATCCAAAGGCAGCTCACGAACGCCCCCCTCCCTCTCCCTCCCTGGATAGTCATGACGACAGCTGAGGAAATGTACTCCTTCCTCAGGCAGACATCTCCCTCTGCGCTCCGAGTCAGTGCTGCATTAAAAATATAAATCCGGAAGGGCTTCATCTGAGTTGTCAGCCGTCATGCCTCCTCGTACCGGGCATCAATTCTTAGAGCGAGAGGGTGAGAGGGAGGCAGAATACTGATGGTCTGCCCAAACCAGCAGGGGGTACATTATCGGCCACAGGTGGCATGTGTCCTGGCAAGTTCCTGTCATTCAAGGTAACATGTGATTTGATAATAAAAAAAATGCAAAGGGGGTTTTGGATGCTGGATTTCAGACTTGTAGTTTTAGATTTGTATTTGAAATTGTTTACATGATAAAACCGTTAAAAAAAAGCCAAATGGTGAAGGCTGTTGTCCAGTATGGCAACATCCAACGCTTTAAAACAGCAGCCACATTGGCTTCGTCCACTTTTTGTAACATGGCTTAAACGCAGTGAAGCACTGTAACATCCAACCGTACCGAAGGCCTGGCGCATTGTTTAAAGGCCACGTGCATTTCTGTCTTCATTGAGGGTTTAGATCATTTATTTAGCACTTTGACCTGATATCAAAAACCTCACCTTCAATCAACAGAAATGCATCTGTGAGATTTCTGGACCGGCGCTCGGACCGAACGAAACATCAGTCATCAGCAGCAACATTCAACCGGAATGAACACGGGTACGAACACGGGTAGAGCTGCAACCACAGCAGACGATGTAATACGTAAGCAGACATACTGTACGTGTCCATCAGGTCCACTGCGGGTTTCACAGCTCGAAGCTTCTGACTAAAATGCCATATTTACCCCGGTCACACCGGCAGCTGAAAACGCCGCTCCAACATCTGGGTTTACCGGCGAGGCCGATGTTGGCATCAGCTAACTGATAACATTGCTGTAACCTTAATACAAATCCATCTCACACATTGCCAAAAACTTGGCAGGCAACACATGCTGCGTGATGTAAGGCCAGCGACTTGGCAGCTGCCGGCTGAAAGAACCGGCTCGTCACCACTCGATACCTCTCAGCGGCTCAGCTGTCCTTTTGTTGTGTAAATTGTACCTGGCTGGTGTCAAGATGGCTGTGAATCAAGAGGAGGAATGCATTAAGTACACCGCCACTGATGGACTCCAGCTCAGATGCCCGACGTTGCCCCCAAAAAACAACCCCGTGTCTGACAACGTGCGCAAAATAAAATATCTGTATCCCGTGCAGATTCACCTTCGCCAATTTCCTTCTTTTTCTTTTGCATTTTTTCCGAGACGTTGCTGATTGTAATGCCAATAAAAAATTTCTGTGTCCACAAAAATAAATTTCAAATAATAGTTATAATACATCATAACAAATGGATCCTTTTCATGGCAAGACAGCATGCTGTCAAGCATCTTTCTTGATCAAAAATATTTAAAAGATGGACAGAATCAGGCTGACAGTGTCAGGAGTCCGAGGCGAGCAGAGCGGTGATCAGCCACATGCAGAGAAGAAAGAAGGCAACAGGTAAACACGTGCGTGAGGCTGGATGGAACTGGCCTTCATAGATGAACCCTGCGGGGGATTGTGAGCGCCTGCATGTCGGTTGGTCTTTACAGGACGGAAATAGAGGACAGCTAAAACATTCTATGCTTTCCCCTATGAACTCAATGGCAAACGTCGTGAAGTCTAGGAAAACAAACATGGTTCTAAGAGCGTCTGACTGCATTTACACTAGATTTCTTTTCAATGAGAGTAGTAGCAGCCCCGCTTTAAGGCGTAAATGGACCATGCTTTACTAAATGGATATCACGCTCTATTGAATAATAGATGGGACTATAGACACACACTTACAATGTTTACTGAGGGAATAGTTCAGCTGAGAAGTGGAGTCCTTTTCCCATTGACTTCTATCCAATCAGACACTTCCGCATTGTCTTCACTTTGTAGAACCGAAGGTTGTCGCCTGAATGAAGGGTCTAGATCGTTCTACCAACTCCTCGTACATAGCTTTTGGTCATTTAACTCCCTTAGGAACCCACGCAGGACGAATGGGAGCTAATTAGGGAGTCTCGGCGGGGAGACGTTACGTTACAGACTAGTCAAGGAGAGGAGCATTTCAAAAGTGAAACGAACAAGCTGGTTATTGAATTCCTGACCGGGGGAGCAGCCATGCTGGATAATGTGCAGGAGGGTTGACTGAGTGGAGGGGGGGACAGCAGAAGATGTGCCCCCAGGAACCACAGGGAGCAGACTGGGACCCGCATGGGGGG